AAAAATTAACATATTTAGTATCATTGGGATAACAGACCCAAACAAAACAACTAAACATTTCTTGTGTTTCAGAAATGTTATTCATATATGTTATTTCTGTCTATGATATTGGGCTAGTGTATTTATGTATATTTTGTAAATATATGTAACATGTAACACAGCTGACCTAACTTTAATTTATCAATGACCTTGATTTTTCAACCATTTATTAATTTTAGATATAGTAATGTAAATCTGTGTATATGCTTTGTGTTAACAAGCTCTTCCATTATCTTCCATTTACGATATAAAAATTATCATGAAAATGATTTCATATTTCCAAGAGTTCAGAAACTTTTTAATGCAATCATAAATACAGCAAAAACAGAACTGTGAAATGCTTGCTACATGTCGTTATGTTGGTAATGATGATTATATTAATTTTTCAAAAACTCTCACATTCCATGTGCCGAAGTCCAAATGTCCAGTATAGTGGACACTCAATATTATGTTTCCCATTAAGCAAAATAAATAATTCATGTGTTAAGTTATTTAGTACACAGCAGAGAACAGGTTTCAAAACAAAACATTGTTAGTTTTTAAAGTGTCCAGTCTCAAGACTAAGAATAACACATGAACAACATTGTTCCCACATTGTTGGCACTCATGAAAGAAGCAGAACTCTCTCCTAAATCCAAATGTATCCCCTGCGCATTAGAGGCAATAGACAAATATTTACTTTTCATGTCAAGTACAAATGCGTCCACACAGAGCAGACATGACTACGTAGCACCAAATAACCACGTTAGCTACAGGATATGTCTTTCCGTGCCTGACATTGAGAAAGCGTGACCTATCCCCTACAAGAGATAAACTCACGCTCTATAGGAGACACTACTGTATGTGAGAGAATTCGCATCTGTGTCACATACACGCGTGCACTCGACAGCCTCGAGCACGTACAGACCTCTACACAAACAAGCATTTCCTTAAAAGGCTTAAAATAACCCCATGGACAGTGCAGCGCCGTATCCAGGCAACAGGAGGCTGGCAATATGGATTCCAGCAATATGGTTCCACTCAGTCACAGAGAGTTAATGGCCCTACAGTCCTAACCCAGAGCCCTCGCAGCTTCCAGCAGATAAAACCATCAACCAGACACCCGTGGCCTGTGCAGAGACATACATCAAAACCCCCAACCACCGAGATAGCCCAGCACTGACACAATCCTATTGTGAGTACAGGACAATAACAGAGACTGACAGAGAGGGAGAGAGACCTAGAGAGAGAGAGAGAGAAAGAGAGAGAGTGAGAGAGAGAGAGAGAGAGAGAAAGAGAGAGAGAGAGAGAGAGAGAGAGAGAGTTCTCTCTTATCTGGATCTCTCTCTCTGTCTCGAAGAAGCCCCGCAGTATGCAGGCAGCATCCCACTCCAGTCATGGTCGGCCGAGCCGAAAGCCTGTGACAGATGGCGGCATTATGGGGCTGCTGCAGCCGATCAGCTATGGGGGAGCTGGGGGGGTCCGGCACACCTGGTGCTGACAGGTGTGTCAAACTCTGCCTGCATGAGGAGGAGCACAGCACAGCAGAGGCTGCCTGCCACTGTCCAGGACAGGTGCACTTTTAGGGATTCTTTTCTATGCAGAAAACAAATAAATTGGCCACTGAGGGGGCAGCTTTAAACGTCTGTGGAGTTTTTGTTGTGTGGGAATGCCAAAAGGAACTGTAAGACTGTGGTCGTGAGAAAATGACCAGAAGATTGATGAAAAAAAAATGATCCATTTTGCTGTAGCAAGCTAGCTAACAAGCTAGCTAACTCACCATCTATACAGTAAAACATACATAAAAGTAAAGATAGTTGTACCATCTAGTCCAGAAAACCACACCAGCTCTCGTCTTGGTGGTACGTGGGAATTCCCATAATTTTTCAAATTTTCTGCATAAATCAGTTGTTAAGAGGCTAACAAAATTATTCAGTGAGGTTTAATGTAAAATTGTTAAATACAGAGAAACGTTCTGACTCAGATTTTCATTACAGATATGATGACAGGAACCAGGGGTCACAATGTCTACAACACAAATATAGCTAAGGCCGGATTTAAAATATCTAAATGCAATTTTTATGACCAGTTTTGCAACTGCAGGTTAAACAGCCATTATTTTCTATATATTGAGTTCCAGGCCCGTTTATCCACTTCTTTGGCTTGGAGCTTGAACGCTGAATGTAGTGTGCCTTACTGTCTGTTAGTTGTGGTTGTGATGTCACAGCACATGGGTGTTTACTCATCTAAAGGCAGTTCAAGCTCACAGTAATTAGGTTAAATTTCCCTACTGAAAACTTGTTAAGACAACATTGTTGATAATGTGGGCTATAATAAAAATTGCAGCTCTTGTGATTTGAGAATTTCAATATGCAATTTTTATTAATCTTTTAGCCCTAAATATAGCCATTAAATTTACATTCCAAAATGACCAGTGAACCTACACATGTCCTCTGACTTTTTATGTAATGTTGATAATGGTAAAATAGTAACAAATCCAAAATAATAGTTTTTCTTAATGTACGGAGGTGTGAAAATATATTTGACCCCACCTGTTTTTGTTGTTTTTTCTTATTTGTCACATTTAAATGTTTTAGATCATCCAACTAGTTTTAATATCAGATAAAGACATTACAAGTAAACACAAAATGTAGCTTTTAAATGATCATTTCATTTACTGAAGATAAGGACTGATTTCACACCCATGTGAAAATGTAATTGCCCACCTTAACCTAATAACTAGTGCTACCCTTGGCAGTAACAACTGCAATCACACATTTGCAATAACTTGCGATGAGTCTTTTGCATCGCTGTAGAGGAATTTTGGCCAAAATGTAATGGGACCCATGTCTTCCAAAAACTTCCACCTTTGATTCATCAGTCCACAGAATATTATCCTAAAATTCTTGGGGTCAACTATATGCCTTTGTGTTCTTTTTGCAGTGGTTTGCACCTTGCAACTCTCCCATGGATGACATTTTTGCCCAGTGTCTTTCTCATTGTGGAATCGTGTACCCTGACTTTAACTGAGGCAAGTGAGGTTTGCAGGGAGAAGGTTCACCACTGTTTGAAGTTTTCTCCATTTGTGGATAATGGCTCTCACTGTGGTTCACTGGAGTCCCAGAGCCTTAGCAATGGCTTTGTAACCTTTTCCAGACTGGTAGATGTCAATGACTTTGTTTTTGAATCTCTTTCAAATGTGGCATCATGTTCTGCTTTTTGAGACATTCTAGCCTGCTTCACAATACCAGACAGGTTCTATTTAAGTGATGTTCAAATTCAACAGGTCTGGCAGTAATCATGTCCGGGTGTGGCGCAGTGAAATGAAACCCAATAGTCAGTTGAATTTGGTTAACTGGATGATTTAGTAGCCAAGGGGGTTAATTACCTCTTCACATAGGGCCAGGTTGAGTTATCTTTGCCTAATATTAAAAGTAGTTTGATGATCTGAAACATTCAAGTGTGACAAATATGCAAAAAAAAAGAAAACAATTGGGAAGGGGTCAAATACTTTTTCACAGCACTGTACTATTTTGCCTTAAAATGCTCTGTGTGTACCTCTCCACTGTGCATGTTTAAAAAAATGTTTTAGGCCAGAAACTCAAAACGATTGTAAAACAATGTCTCAGATATCAGGCAGTGCACTTGTAACCACTTCTGTAATAAATTATTTTAGAGTTCTCGTTTTAGAGACATTAAATGCTTCAGATTTCTGGTTCCTATCATCACTACTGATTCAAGATTACTGATTTATTGTCACATGCATTTAGAATACAAGGCTTTTAAAAATTCAGCAGAAGCTCCTGTGCTTACACCACAGTGGCATGCTTCTACATATAAAAAATAAGTATAAAGAGAAGTACACAGGAGGTAATAGGGGAGGGAGGTACTGCGCATACAAGAAGTATATTGCACACACTAGACAAGTATGCCAGAAAACAGTAAATAAAGAAGTGACCAATTCTGGTGCCCATCATCATTATTATGAGCAATTATGGTTCATATTGCTACTACTGTGAGCAATTCTGACCACATAACTTCATTTAGAATGGAGCATTTCATACTCACTACTCTGAGTAACTTCACAATTCTAACAACTAAACTATGCAGGAAGTTTGAAAAATTGGTGGAATCCCTCTTCAATTTATAGTTGGTTGGAAAGTAATGTTATGTGTTTAGACACTGCTATGATCAGGCCTACTTCCATTTTGGATCTTCAGTGCTGCTCTATGGAGAAACCCCCTTCAAGGACAGTGCAGTCAAAGCAGTTAGGCTATTGGTAAATGATATGAATTTGCAAAATTCACTTGTTCCAGAAGTTTGCAATAGGTAACTGTTCATCAGGGCAAACAGAGTTTTGCTTAGAAATTTTCACTGACATAAAGATAATGTGATTGGGCCTTTGCTCTGAGGTTTGGATCAGGACTCACTGTTGTGTGCACTGCCTCAGCCTGACACTGTTTTCAGGGAAAGACAATTTCACTGTCACCAAACAGAGTGGCAAACTGGTTACAGAGCAAATGCATAAACAAGCTCAGAGAGCAGGGAGTGGTGAACTCACTCTGTGTGAACTCACTACAGCATGCTGTTCCTGAATGCATGCACACACACACACACACACACACACTAACACACACAGCTGAGTCATACTGTCACACTTATTACAGTTAAACCTGTTCACTAATACAGTGTGAGGAAAACTGCAACGTCAAATAGGCCAGTTTAAGGGAATAAAAATGTTGCTGTCATAACAAATCCTCATAGCTCTGAAATGGTAACTTCATAAGAAAATGTTCTTATAATAATATCTGTTAATATAACTTCAAAAATATATTTTTTATATATTTGTCATTAAATGTACATAATGGAAAAGGCAACTGAAGAAAACATTTTTTAATAGAGTGCAAAGTTTGTTTAAGACAGTGAAATATAACCCACCATACGTAGCTAAGATGAGAAGGGGTCATCTCTTCAGTGCCTACCTGAGTCTGAGCTGTAGATGTAGACAAACTTGCTCCACTTGTAGTGCTCGATAACGCCCACCAGGGCGTCCTGCAGCTCTGGCCGCAGCTGAATCACAAACTGGTTGGACGTCTCGATGGGGAAGCTCGGCGTGACGAAGCAGACATGCAGCGCGCCGCAGAATGACATCAGCATGTTCACCGTCTTCCTGTCATACACTCCGATGATGGCGTACACGCCTTTCGCAAACTGCGAACAGACTGCAACAGAAAGAGATAACACGTAAGGCATGTGAGAAAAACAGGCACACTTTATCAAAAAGTCTAATTTGCTGAATTTTCTGTGTTTGCTTTCTACAGTTTGCTTGTTTAGTTTTGCACAGGAAAAGGCTAATATGGTGAAGAAGTACTGGAACTTTCACATCATTGCTGAGTTAAGATTAAGGCTCTCGCTGTCAACTATATTTATAATTTACAGATTATTTTGACAATTAATCAAGTAATCAGGCAGGATGCACCAATATGGGAATTGTGGGTCGATGCAGATATCTGAGATTTTTCATGTACATGTCTGCCAATGCCAATACAAAAACACTTATAAAACGCAGAAATTAACATTAACTTTATTTGATGATGAATGGACCAAAGGAAATGGCCTAAAATGACTTTGAAAAAATCTGGTTCCATGGACTTAGATTAAAACGTTAAAAGTTTTTTTTTTCTTTTCCTGTAAAGTTACCATTACCACAGTGATACATATATCTATATCTATATCTATATCCATCTATCTATCTATCTATCTGTCTATCTATATATATATATATCTATATATATATATATATATATATGGATGTGATTTGATATAATCAGTTTTAAATGCAGAAATCACGCTTAAAAAAGATCATTTCTGCAAGCGAAATATTTATTATTTTTGCTCCAATCTATACTGTACAGTGTGATGTACTATACTGTACAAGGCAGTGTACATTCATCTTCCACAGGGTTTATGCCTTGTTGGTGTAAGTGGGAAAAGCCCTTCACTTATTGTGGAGATATACACATGAATAGCAGCTGAAAAAGCCTGAAAAATCACATATTTTTGTGCATTATTTTGTGCATTATTTGAGCTAAATTGTTTTGCTATTTATTTTATTTTTGTCCGACTTTACCAGTGATTTTAAATATGTTTTTGAACCATCAATATGGCTTTCAGTATCTGGTTTATATCCGTTTATATCCGGTTATATACGTTTTCAAAGAGATAAGAGCCTAGACTTGTATGACTGGAAATAGCTGTCGTGTTGCCAAGATGGCCGCTGAGTGAACAGTTTTTCATATAGAAAAGCCTAACTAAACATTACTGGAGTAGTCTGTTAGCCTGTACGCTAAGCTCTTCAGCCTAGATCTAGTTAAACAATACATTTTGCTCCATGTACACTTTTCCTTCATATACTTACAATTTATAACTAAAACATTTATGATTTTGTGTAATCCTGCTGGTGTGGATTTCCTCTTTTTCAATGAAGCACACAAAAGTAAGTTGAGTGTTAATAGCTCCCCCTTGTGGAGAATCTGCTAAATACAGCTTTATGACCTGATAAAACCTTATCACTCGAAATCTGAACCACCCACTAAGCCAAATTATTACAAATGCTCATTTTAAGTGATTAATTTTTTCATCTTTCATTCTTTACTTTGAATGTTGAACTATTGCTTTAACTGTTGAAACAAAGGCACAAGTCAGCTACAGTCTTGTCAGCAATTCAGGCTGCTCAAAACGACTGAAAGTCATTTCAATAGGAATAAACCGAAAAGCAATAACATGGCAGCTGTGTGAGTATGAAGTGGTTCACGCTGTGCGTTTGTGAGGCTGGGGGCTACGCAAAGGGGGACATTAATCAATACGCACAGAGGAGGATTTCATTGACATTTTCCAAACAGCAGGATGCTTTTCTCTCTTTTTCTCCCTCTCTCTCCCCCCATCCTCACTCCCTTTCTATCTCCCTCTCCGTTCAATATCTCTGTCCCTGCCCTCCCCCCCGTCCAGGCAAAATGGACACCATCTGTTTTCAAACCTATTTCCTAAACCGGTTTCCCACCAGGTCCATTTTGAATGCGGCAATGGCGCTCCTCGCTGCTATCTTTGCCCTGGCGAGGGGTTATTTTTTACTCCAGCCACGAGCCTCACGTTTCAGTGCCTGCACCAAAACAGATTGAAGTTGCAGTCTGTTCACTGCTCAGGGTCCAGGGCTCAGCAGGGGCTGCCTGAGGGGCCGCAGGGGCTGCAGGACAGACAGGCATGGCCAATGTCCAGCAAAACGCCCGTCCCACCACAAGCAGGACAGGAATTGCTCTCCAGCACGTGGTCATGTATGCTCTTCATGCATTGTATCTTATTTCATTTTTTTCTCTTTCCTTTCATTCATGTATCAATGACTGACTACATTCTGCTAAGGTTAGACTACACTGTACTGACAGAACAACATTAACCACAAACAAAGCAGCAGGAATCGAGCAAAACGTAATCATCTTAAACAATAACTCACATGTAGGCAGCATCCTGTGACCACTGATAAAGGACATGAGGACAACTAACACAAACTGTGCAGCAACAGATGAGCTACAGTCTCTAACTGCATATAAGCAAGGTGGACCAAATAGGTAGGACTGTCGAATAGAGTGGACAGTGAGTGGACAGTGTTTAAAAACTCCAGCAGCACTGCTGTGTCTGATCCACTCATACCAGCACAACACACACTAACACACCACCACCATGTCAGTGCAGTGCTGAGAATGATCCACCATCCAAATAATACCAGCTCTGTAGTGATCCTGTGGGGGTCCTGGGCATTGAAGAACAGAGTAAAAGTATGCAGAGAAACAGATGGACTACAGTCTGTAACTGTAGAACTTCAAAGTTCACCATTTTAGTAAATGTAACTGATAAAATGCACAATGAATACAGATACAAGGTAGGTGTACTTAAAGAAGTGGCCAGTCAGCGTCACAACCACAACTCATTAACTGGCAGTCTGTTCCACTACATTCAGAGTTTAAGATTCAAGCTAAAAAAAGCCCTTAATTTGTATAAAATAAATGCAATTTAAATCTCAGTTGCAATAATGATCAGAAAAATCACAGTTACATATATTCTTCAAATTGTTCATCCCTACAGCAAAGTATGTGAAACATTAAATTCATTGACTAATTTAAATTAATTTGACTGAATTCAGTCAAATTAATTCAGTTAAGCCCATTTTATTGCTTGCTTTATAAAAAGTCTGATTACTTGATTAACCACCGAAATAATGTGGGTTAACTGGTTAATAGTGGCAGTCGTAGTAAACATATGTGTAAATATGTGTTGTGTGTACATGCTGTGCAATGTATTTTGCTACACAGTGGTGAATCTAGCCTAGAAACAGGCTAAATGGAGTTTTTGGTTTTTCTAGAGTCAATAGAGTTCATCAGAGACCTGAAATGACTACCTTATTTGGCAGTGGAATAGTGGAATAGTACACAAAAGCTTTATTTTAAGCTACTCTTTCTGCGCAATATTGACGGTTGCGCATGCGCCACTGAGCCGCTGTGTATTAAAGTGTCCGACGCTGGCGACAGGAGCTGCAGTGAGCTCAGAGGCAATATAGGATGTGATCTTATCATACAGAGCTGCTTCCCCTGCAGCTGATGATGACTCTTACTATAATTCTGTTTAGGCTGAGAGAGAGAGAGAGAGAGAGAGAGAGAGAGAGAGAGAGAGAGAGAAAGGGTGTGGGGGGAGAGAGATAGAGAGAAAGATAGAGCCTGCCTCCCTCTGATTTAGCCATTACTGAAGACATATGGCACATCAGATCAGTCTCCACACATTACCATATGCCATGTGTGCCTAACTTGAAATGGCTTTATACAGTTCATACTTTTGGCTGATTTATACCACAAGCTGGTCGGGCTGCACAATATACTGTGTCTTAATTTTTATCGCCACAGTGATGATATTGCAGAAATGCGGAATATACAACTGATCTAACCTCTGAAGGTTTCTGAATGAACTGCTGCTTTACAAGAAAATTCCAACAATTATTCAAAATTACTACATAATTAAATTGTTAAGGTTTAAACAAAGTCACTCAGAGTAGTTTGATGTAAAATGAGTCTTTCTAGAGAAATATGGCGAAATTGCTCCCAGTAGAGATGATAGGAACCAGAATCCAAAGAATTTAATGCCTCTAGACGCTCCCTCACAGAAGGTATGTTGCCTGACACTAATATTTCTGAGATATTGTTTTGGCCTAAAAATTAAACTCATGCAGGGCATTGTAAGGCAAAATACTGTTGAATGATATTTCATCATTATTAACATCACACATAAAATCTCAGCAGACACGTGTAGCTTCGCTGATCGTTTTGGATAGAATAACATGGCTATATTCGCATTGTAGACATTGTGATCCCTGGTTCCTATCACCACCCAGCTAAATTAGCAGCTTACTTTCTGCCTGTGTGTGTTATTCTGATAGTAAAAATATAGCTTCACTCTGAATGACTGAGTTGCTAAACATCAAATATCCCTGTACAGTTCTAACTAAAGCCAACATAAACCACGCAGTTTTGTCTGCTTATTAGCAATGTACATCCCACCAATTGGTAGTCGTCGTGTGTGACGTGTGTCGTTAACTAATGGGCATGGAAGACACCAGGAGCCACAACAGAGGTAGCTTTAAACATTCAAATGTTCATTTTTTCACTGGATTTGACAAATATTTGATTTTAATAGCCCTAATAGACCTCTAAAGTTGTGTCGTCATTCTGTAATCAGTGCCACGCCCATATTACAACCCAAAAAATATTTCCAAAAAAAAATTGGCACATGTAAATTAAAACAGAATGCAATGATGTGTAAATCATTTAAACCCTACATTTAATTGAAAATAGTACAAAGACAACATATCAGATGTTGAAACTAGTATTTATTCTTTTTTGAAAAATATATGCCCATTTTAAATTTCATGTCACCAACACATTTCAAAAAAGTTGGGATGGGGCAACCAAGGACGAAGGGTGAAGTTGTGTAATGCTAACAAACAGCTGGTGGAACATCTCACAACTAATTAGGTTAATTAGCAACAGGTCAATAGCATGACTGAGTGTAAAAAGAGCATCACAGAGAGGCTGAGTCCTTCAGAAGTAAAGATGAGGAGGGGTTTACCACTCTGTGAAAGACTGTGCAGGCAAACAGTGCAACAATTCAAGCATAACTTTCT